CGATTTTGAAACAATTATCCTACAATTTCTTCAAAATGTAAGCAAATATTTATATAGAATTTGATTTTACTTATTTCTACGTTCTAGAAAGTCAAGCAATCAACAAAAAAATTAGAAGTAAGACATGTTTATAACCTCAATTTGCAGGTTTCACGTTTTGTTATTATAGTTTGAATAGTGTGAATTTAGGACCCTAAGTTTTGAGATTAAAATTAACTCAAATTTTTTATGTAGCGCTACAAATTGGAACATTTGCCTAAGTTTGATATTGAAATGATCATTGCTCCAAATGATTGTAAATTTGCTTATTATACTTGATATCATTGCGTGAATTCAAGTTTGTGCTACTCACTTAAATAAATAAATTTTATGGGTACATGATCAATGTGGAAAGTGTTTGATCAAAACATTTGGAGATGGTGATCTTGTTAAGTAATATCAACAAGTAAGTTTTATAAATCAATAATTTTAATAGAAAATATGATTCTGAGTTTTATGCGATTTACTGTACTTTCGCAACATACTGTTTCGAATTTATGATATAATATTCTGCTATTTCCCGTGTAACAATATGTTGTTACAAGTTATATTTACGAATAAATTATATTTAACAAAACAAGTTTTTCTTTGGTGTAGGAACTTTTCGACTTAAAAAAGACTATAATTTATAAGTATGTTGTTTGTGTATTGCAACGAGAATTGTCTTTTAGATAAAGTTTGGGCTATATGCTTATGCTCTGTTTTATGTACAACTTCGTGTAAAATCAGAACATGTAAATTTCATATTGCTTCTCATATTGAAACCTTGTTTTACGAGAATAAGTATTGTGTTGCATAATCATGTTGAGTATGCTGCTATGCCCAAAATATACATAATGTGGTGATGCAACCTTACTTCTAAACTTGAAATATCTTTCATGTTATACTTTTTGATATATACCAAATTAATGTTACAACATGTAATATAAGTTCATATCAGTTTTTATGTGTTGATATGTATTTAATGGTGATTTAGTTGTACTTTGTAAAAAGTTATTGGACTCTATTTGTAATTTTTTTTTTTTTTTTGTTGTTTTACCACTTTCTTTTATTTGTGTTTAATTAAAGAGAATGACAAATCTGTCCTCTAATGTCTAAGTAGGAGGGAAGAACGAGTTTTGCTACATAATTGAAAGGTTGTGGATATATTATATTAAAAAGAGTTAGGAGTATATATACTATATCACAAAGCTTGCGGACGAAAAGTGTAAATTTTTCTACCATTACGACCCAAAAATTTAGATAAAATATACTTTTAACATAACCAACAAATATATGATTTTAACATGAGAGAGTTATAAAACACGTCTTGATATGGAAGACGATTTATTATACTTAACGAATCGAGATATGAATTGGACCAGCCTAAAACGAAAAGAAATTTCATTTCAAGACTATTCAATTCTCTAAGTTTTTAATCAATTATTGAGATTAAATTTATTTTGACTCACAAACTATGTCCACGTAAAATTCTATACAACGACTCTAATTTTATTTCTGCACCAAATGACAATTTTTACATTGAAATTCTTAAAATATAAACTTAAGTAGAAATTAAAGAACTTTCAAATCAACTTTCCCATAAAATAAAATTAAATTAAAAAATAAAAAATGAAAATAAAGTTTAATGGACTTTTAAATACAATACTTAGGGTGTGTTTAAGTCACGTTATTTTGGAATAATGTATTTTGAAATAGTAGATTGATGGAGAATGTGTGGTTGAAAAAAAAAAGGAAAAATTATTGATATGATGGAAAATATTATTTTATTGAAGAATGTGTAGTTGAAAATAAGTAAAAGAATGAGAATGAAAATGAGAATTTTAACGTGGCTCAAACAAAAGCTTAGAATGCAGTCCACTTTTTCCACCGCTGGAGGGCATTTTAGTCATTGTGCTGAGAAAAAAAGGTTGCCTAATTTATTTCCTATTTTTCTTTTTTACTTTGTTTGATGAGAAGGGTTTTCTCCTTTTGACTTCTTAGTTCATATCCTTGAACAAAAGATTTGTACTAGTAATAATAATGATTTATTTATATTTCACCAAATTTGATTTATTTTCACTATCTTTTCTTTTAGTTCAAGATTATCGATTTTATTAAGATTACTAACATCATAATAGTTTCAATACTTTTTTATCGAAGTTACGTAAATACACTAAGATTATCAAAATCTTACCATAAAGATTTCAATAATTTTACGCCGAAGTTATATAAACATACTGAGATTATCTTAATCATACAAATTTTTACGATATGATGTAACTATTTTACGATTTTTATAATTTTATAGATGTTATTTACTTGCGTATTCTTGTTATATTCTTCATTCGACTATTGTCTTTATCTGACCATGCATACGTAGATTTCATACCTGTATGTTACTTTTATTGTTGCTTTTCTCTTAAATTCGGATGGTTGACCTCAAAAGTTAGGAAAGAAATGAACAAAAATCGCTCCGTATAAAACAACGAAGAGATATGATATAACGTCAAGCGGTGAGTAGTTATTACTAATTTAATATTATCATTAATGTCTTCACCAAAAATACAAAAAATTAAAATTCTACGAGTACCCTTCCCTCCAAGTTCCACCGCTTCCACAATGGGCTCATTCGGCTCATTCCGCCACCAACCACCCTCCTCCACCTTCTCATGGGTCCCTTTGCCACCACCACTCCAACCTCACCCCTCCCCTGTCTCTCTCTCTCTCCGCCCCGTCTATCTCTCTCTTAAATTTACATCTTTTGCATAATTTGCATAATTCAAACATCAATCCTTGTCTATCTGTCTCTCTCTAAAATTTCTTTTCCCTTTTTTCTTTTCTCTAGAAAACACACAGTATACACACTTCTTCAACCCTCGAGTAATTTGATTCTGTGATCCACACACCAAAGCCTGCTACACAGCTCATTATACAAAGAGAGTGTGGGGGGAGACCTTTATCACAAGACAGAGGGTTTCTCTCAAGAAAAGAATCCCAAACACCCGAAAACCAAAAAATACTCTTCTCTGTCATAAACCACAATATCCCACATTCTCCCTCTAAAATGCTATAATATTCTGGTTCTTATGCGCCTATAAATGTATCGTTTTCAGTGATAGATTACTTTCTTTGATGTGAGTAAATGAGGTTTGAGTGATTTTTCATTCTGCCCTTTCTTTTCTTGATTGTGACGGTACTGTGAAACCGTATCTCTTGTGTGAAAGTTGAAGAGAAGGAGAGGCTTTGAGCGTTTTGTTTTGGGATGGATACTAAAGGGAGGTTGGTGGCTGGTTCACATAAAAGGAACGAATTTGTTCTCATCAATGCTGATGAGATTGGAAGGGTAAGGACTTAATAATGCTCTTGTTTTTGCTTTTAACTCCTGAGGTTGCAATTTGGAACTCCATTTATTGTTCAAGTTCAAGTATGTTCATTTTTGGGTTTCTGGAGGTGCTCTTTTGCTCATTTTCAATTAAGAAGTGTTGTTGCTGGGTGAAGTGCTTAATTTTTCTTTTTAATTTTCTACTAATTCCTTAGCGCGATTTTGGAATGGAAGCTCAATTTTCTAGATCTTTTCAGGGAGTCTTCTTTTACTGCCTTATTTTTTGTTTTGGGATTTTTGCAAAGCCATTATGGAAATCATTTTCTTCATCTTTTTGCTTTTTCCCTTTTATTTTCCCTTTTTTATCCAAACTTAATGCAAAATCTGGGGTTAATTGAAATGAAGTTCTTTTAGCCCTCTTTCAACTTTCTAGATTGGAGCCGGTCAAACTTCTGCTTGTATCTTTTAACTTTGTTTTATTACACTTACTTTTAAATATTTTTGTGAAGTTTGCGAGTGATAATGCATTAATTTTAGTTGTATGAATTCTTGGAATTGCCGGATGTGATGCTAATTCGTCTATGGTTGAATTATGCTTTGATGGCAGGTGACTTCTGTGAAAGAGTTAAGTGGGCAGATTTGTCAGATTTGTGGAGACGACATAGAAATTATGGTTGATGGGGAGTCTTTTGTTGCCTGTAATGAATGTGCATTCCCTGTTTGTAGAGCTTGCTATGAGTATGAAAGGAGAGAGGGAAATCAAGCTTGCCCTCAATGCAAAACCAGATACAAGCGCATAAAAGGTAACTGACGCTTCTTGTCATTTACTTAACTTTATTGTTTGTTCGTTGTACTTCAATTAGAATGCCACTTAATGTTCAGGGAGTCCCAGAGTCGATGGCGATGAAGATGAGGATGGATTTGACGATCTAGAGTATGAATTTGATTATAACAGCAATGAAGGAAGAGATCCACAGCAGATTGCAGCAGCAGCTCTCTCGGCTCACCTTAATATTGGCCAAAGTGCTTCTGGAATCACTGTTCCATTGCAGTGGGATTCTTCAGTGGTTGCTTCGGAAATTCCTCTCCTCACTTATGGAAAAGAGGTAGTTGGAGGCTCAATCTTTTTCTTATCTTGTTCGGTGTTTTGTTAGCGTAGTTTGTGAGTTACAATTTTTTGATGAAAATACACATTTTATGAAGGACGATACCATTTCTGCGGATAGTCATGCTCTCATAATTCCCCCGTTAAATGGGCGTGGAAAGCGAATCCATCCTGTGCCATTCTCCGATTCTTCTATGTCTAGTAAGTTTATTTAGATGCATTGTGTAATTCGATGACTATTTACCAAGTCAGAAAGTTAATACATGGATGATAATGGCAGTGCCTCCCCGTCCAATGGATCCAACGAAAGACTTGGCTGTATATGGATATGGTACTATTGCATGGAAGGAAAAAATGGAGGAATGGAAGAAAAAACAAAATGAAAAACTTCAAGTAATTAGGCATCAAGGATATAAAGATGTTGGCATCAATGGTGGAGATGATTTGGATGATCCTGATTTACCCAAGTAGGCCCATCGTACCTGTTTATTGTAGCGTTTTTATGATATTTGTTCTATTATTTATAAGTGATTTGACTTGCACACTTTTTAACCACTACATTGTATATGTAGCTTTCGTCAACGATATTATTATCCTGAATTGTAGGCTAACCCATGCCCCAGTTTGACACCCATTTTTTCTCATTCTCATTTTTTTTCTCTTTCTTAATTTCAATCACACATTCTATCAATAAAATAATACTATACATAAACCCAAAAATTCTCATTACATTTTAACCACACATTCTTCCATCAGTCACTATTCCAGAATTTATTTTTTCTCTAAAATTGGTGTCAAACAGGGGCTATATATGCTATATTCCTTCAATATCATGGAAGGATTCCATTGAAAAACTTCAATTAGATAATATCAATACACAATATATTATCTCTTGATGACGTGAACTTATGTTACCTTATTCAGTTACTCTGCGACTACATTATCTAAAAATTCTTTGAAATTTCTCTTCCTATTTTTGCATCAATGCCTCCTTTACTAGAGTATTAGTCATTCACCAATGGTATCTATTTGTTTGTCATTTCTATTGAAATCCCAAATATAGAATTTAATTGCGGAAAAGCTGTGGCATTGCTAGAGTCAAATAGTTGCCTAGATTATTAGCAAAAATGAGCAACCAGCATTAAGTTGGGCTATATTGCATTTGACGATCCCTGTGGATGCATGGAGTGGAATTGAGATAAGTGTATATTTTGTCCGTTGGGCCTTTTGTAGAGCAAGAAGCCTTCCTCGTAATCAATTAAATAGATTCAACATCAGGTTCATAGATGATAAATCTTTCATTAAATTTTATTCATTAACCATTATTTACAAGGACTGGCCATGCATTTTTGATTTCGCAGCCACATCTACTTTTAAGTTTTTATTTATGTTAGAAGGCATGTGAATGTACGAGTATATACTTCAGACTGTTTCCTGCAGTTCTGGTGGGTTAATGGAGAAATATGGAGTTAGGTTGCCTTAAGGCTTATGTAGTGTAACATCAATGATATTTTCATGCCATGCATGGATTTGAACCCCGCGCTCTTTTATTTAGATAATCAATTCTGGAAAAAGTATTTAGATTCTCAACTTCTTATGGAATTATTTGATTTATTGAATTTCCTTTTTATCCTTTTTTTACAGGATGGATGAAGGCAGACAACCCCTTTCAAGAAAGTTACCGATTTCTTCAAGCAAGATAAACCCTTATAGATTAATCATTCTACTAAGAATTGTGATTCTAGGGTTGTTCTTTCACTACAGAATTCGCCACCCTGTCAATGATGCATATGGATTGTGGCTCACTTCAATTATATGTGAGATATGGTTCGCCGTATCATGGATATTTGATCAGTTTCCAAAGTGGTTTCCAATTGAGCGAGAGACATACCTAGATAGACTCTCATTAAGGTATATAGCTTTTTTCTCGCTTTCCTACACCCACATTTGCTACTATTTATTGTGGCCATCCATCTCTAGTGTTATACAGTTATAGATTCTGATTCAGAGATCAGTGATGAACCAAATAAAAATTAGAAAATGAACAAAGAACAAACATATTAAAGTGGTTCAGCTTCAATGTGGGAACTACATCCTCTCACCACTGCAGTAACAATTTTATATAGGAGATCTTACACTTTTCAGTCCTTTCTCCATGCCCAGAGTAAAACTGTCCCCTCAGATTCCTTTATGTAATGCAGGAAGATTAGTCGATCCGCTGTCAAGGGATAAGTCAACAATATAACTAGTCTCTACACTATCCAATAGCTGATTTTCTTCCTAGTTTTGTATCTGAGTTACCTCAAATTCAACTTTTCTACCAGGTATGAAAAAGAAGGGAAGCCCTCTGAACTGGCTGCCGTAGACATATTCGTAAGTACAGTGGATCCCTTGAAAGAACCTCCACTCATTACTGCGAACACAGTTCTCTCCATCCTTGCTGTGGATTATCCAGTCGACAAGGTTGCATGTTATGTCTCAGATGATGGTGCTGCCATGCTAACGTTTGAAGCCCTTTCTGAGACATCCGAGTTTGCCAGGAAATGGGTTCCGTTTTGCAAGAAATTTAACCTAGAGCCTCGGGCTCCAGAATGGTACTTTGCTCAGAAGGTTGATTATTTAAGAAACAAGGTCGATCCAACGTTTGTTATGGAACGCCGTGCAATGAAGGTATCTCACTTCTTCCTTTGATCTATTTCAAAATTTTGTACGATTTTCTTTTTATTTTTCATTAGTTTGTGCGATATGAAAATTGCACAAATATGTAGTGTCTACAAAAAAAGAAATAAATAGGTGAATTTACGTATGGATCTGATTCATATTGTTGCATTCAGTCTCTTCACTATAACACTCAGATATCCTCACGACTCATCCTCAGAGTGAAGTCGGCTTTCAGTTTTAACTTAGTCAACATAAATTCATCTGTAATAATTGTTTTGGTGCAGAGGGAATATGCAGAGTTCAAAGTTCGAATAAATGGATTGGTTGCCATGGCACAGAAGGTTCCCGAGGAGGGTTGGACAATGCAGGATGGAACTCCATGGCCAGGAAACAATGTCAGGGATCATCCTGGAATGATCCAGGTATAAGAGCATTTCTTTGAGGATAACACAAAAAAAGAAACATTATGTTGCCAAGAAAAATGATACTGAATTTTATGTCCGCAACAGGTGTTCTTGGGACATAATGGTGTTCGTGATATTGAAGGGAATGAGTTACCTCGTCTCATTTATGTTTCTCGTGAGAAGAGGCCTGGATTTGAGCACCACAAAAAAGCTGGTGCCATGAATGCTTTGGTAACTTTCTACCCTTGACCACCCACATTTCCGCTTGCACTAATCATTTTTCTTTTTGTGACAAGCATGTTATGCATTTGGTTGTCTGATTCATTATTTGTAACGACTGTAATTCTAGGTGCGGGTGTCAGCAGTAATCTCGAATGCTCCTTACCTACTTAATGTTGACTGTGATCACTACATAAATAACAGCAAGGCTCTCAGGGAAGCTATGTGTTTCATGATGGACCCTCAAGCTGGAAAGAAAATATGTTATGTGCAATTTCCTCAAAGATTTGATGGAATTGATAGACATGATAGATACTCGAACCGCAATGTTGTCTTTTTTGATGTAAGTTCTTGCAGTGTTCATATATAAAATTACTGATATGGTTTATGAAGTTGTATATTGAAAAGGCTTGTTTATTTTAATTGAAACCAGATAAATATGAAAGGGCTTGACGGGATCCAGGGTCCAATTTATGTTGGAACTGGGTGCGTCTTCAGGAGGCAAGCACTTTATGGATATGATGGCCCAAAGAAGACCAAATCCCCTGGAAAAACATGCAATTGTTGGCCGAAATGGTGTTGCTGCTGTTTTAGATCAAGAAAGAAGAATAGGAAAGGGAGATCGAAGGATATATGGAAGACAACGAAGGGGAGGGAAACTTCATTGCAAATTTCCACGCTTGAAAATATTGATGAAGGAATTGAAGGTAGTAACAACATTGATACTGAAGGGTTATTGACATTAATTTTAGATCTGTTCTGAGACTTTATGGTGAACACCATAAAGTTTATGCCATTTGATATGTAACGATGACATTTTCTGCAGGAATTGATAGTGAAAAATCATCCCTAATGCCCCAGATACAATTTGAGAAGAAATTTGGACAATCGTCTGTTTTCATTGCTTCAACACTCCTAGAAGACGGTGGTGTTCCTCCAGGGACAACATCTGCGTCGCTCTTGAAAGAAGCTATTCATGTCATTAGTTGTGGTTATGAAGACAAAACAGAATGGGGAAAAGAGGTATGGAACAATTACTTAAAAAGTTACTCTTTTTTTTGATGTTTTGCTTTAGCAGTTGGGTTTATGCATTGGTTCTAAAATTGCAACTCTACCAGGTTGGATGGATTTATGGATCCGTCACTGAAGATATCTTAACCGGGTTTAAAATGCACTGCCATGGCTGGAGATCAGTGTACTGTATACCCAAAAGGCCTGCATTTAAGGGGTCAGCTCCCGTTAATCTTTCTGATCGTTTGCACCAGGTCCTTCGATGGGCCTTGGGATCAGTTGAAATATTCTTGAGTAGACACTGTCCCATTTGGTATGGATATGGGTGTGGCCTAAAACCACTTGAGAGGTTTTCGTATATAAATTCAGTCGTTTATCCATTGACATCACTTCCTTTGATTACTTATTGCACCTTGCCAGCAGTTTGTCTCTTGACCGGGAAATTCATCGTCCCTGAGGTGAGCCCCTACCAGGACAAACATAGACATTGAGTTCTGTTATCGAATCTGTTTACCTTTTGAACTTCTTATCTTGTATAACTGGATCTTTTAGTGAGCATGTTTCTTGGATGACTTACCTGCTTTTTATAAAGATTGTGAGACACGAGTTTAGTGGGATATTTTGATTGCTATAAAATATATCCAGGTAAATATAGAACATGTTAAGAAGAGAGATAACTGAACAGAAGTGTTTTCTATATCCAAACAGAAAGAAATGTTTAAATTTGAGGCGGATGGGAAAATCTGGAAGGTGGGGGTGTTAATCTAAATGCAAATAGAAGATTTGATAATTGAAAACAGATAAACACGTGTTATGCTATTTATTAAAAAAATTTCTTATGCCTTCCTTGAATAAATCAAATGGGGCAAATTATTAGGTACATATCTGAATCAGAGTCCGAAGGCTGTTAAAAGTATTGCAGGGCGCTTGAAATCAAATCCTTGAATGTGAAATTGTCTACCATAAACATTGATGATTTTAAGATATCCAAATTAGAGAGAAATGGGATATTATTGGAGCTTTCTAGCTTTCTTTGCATTTTAGCTTACTCATTTCTTGTACTGTCTGCAGATTAGTAACTACGCCAGTATAGTGTTCATGTCCCTTTTCATTTCAATTGCTGCAACCGGCATTCTCGAGATGCAGTGGGGCGGTGTTGGCATCGATGATTGGTGGAGAAACGAGCAGTTCTGGGTGATTGGTGGTGCCTCGGCGCACCTTTTTGCTCTATTCCAAGGACTTCTCAAGGTTCTGGCGGGTGTCAACACGAACTTCACTGTTACATCCAAAGCAGGCGATGACGGAGAATTTTCCGAGCTTTACCTTTTCAAGTGGACATCATTGTTAATCCCTCCCATGACTTTGTTGATTATTAACATTATCGGGATCTTAGTCGGGGTTTCAAATGCCATAAACAACGGGTACGAGTCGTGGGGACCTCTATTCGGCAAGTTATTCTTCGCATTTTGGGTGATTGTCCATTTATACCCCTTCCTCAAAGGATTTATGGGAAAACAGGACAGACTTCCCACCATCATTGTGGTATGGTCGATTCTTCTTGCTTCTATCTTCTCACTGCTATGGGTACGGATCAACCCATTTCTTTCAAAAGATGGAATTGTATTAGAAGTTTGCGGGTTGGATTGTGATTAGATATAGAAGTTAGAATATTTCTGGGTTCTGGTTTTATCTATTGCAATGTTGCTCAGGAACAACAAGAACAGAAACAAATCTTGGGGCGAAAAACCAGACATCTGGAAGTGGTCACTGATGAGAATCAGGAGTGGACATAATTGAGTTGAAACAAGCTCTTGATGTTTTGTTTGTAGATAAAAAGCTGTGATATATGTTATGTTAGTTCTCCAAAGTTTACTTAGATTCTTTGGATAAATTTTGTATTCTGAAAAGTGATGAAACTCATAAACTGTAATCCCAAAAAATCATTTAGTTTTTATTATTATCTTCAAGGCATGAGAGTTTTCTTAGGAAAGAGATATTTTGAGAAGTGCGTGGTTTCCTCAAGTTTTCTTTAGGCTATATATGGGATTTTTAGAGTTGTTATTCTTGATATTGAGTGTATTACAGTTCAGATATCTGCCATTGTTAGTGTGAAAAAGATGAAAAATAAATTAAAGTACTGATGCTTCAATAGTATTATGCACAAAATGTGTCAGTGCTCTAGGCACCTAGTCTTGATTTTTTGGAGGATATGTGGTTAAAAAATGAAATTTCTTTTGAATTTACGTGTAAAATTATTTTAATGAAAGAATATAAATAAAATGAGTTTAAGAAATTAGGGACACAAAGGCTTGGTGTTCCATGTATAAAAATGGTTCTTGTAAGGGGGCAAAAAAGGAAAAGAAAAATACTTGCTAGAAACTGGAGCTATGGCCTTGTTTTCAGTCACTTATTTTTTCTTTTCTATTTGTGATAGTGTCATAATAGCAAATCATATTCATTTTCTCATCGAAGGACTCAAGCCAGCACAAGATTTTCCTTTCTCTTGCTCTATATGTTGAATCATTTTGTTATTTAGTTTAAGCAGTTACAAAAAGAACACATTTATTTATTTAAATTTAGGTCACGTTTGAGCCACCTTGTTATCTCATTAAAATGAAAAATATGACCGTTATCCATCATATCAACATTTAAATTCAAATTTTCTATCTCTTGTGTGGGCCTCAATAACGACTATATTTTTCATTCTCATTCTACAATAATTTGGCTCAAACATGGGCTTAATATTCAACATATATAGCGTGAATTGAAATGCTTACATTGGTCTCATACACTACGGGATCTCAATGGATATCAGTTTCGAGAAGAGCATGTCTAATGGAATGCAACTCGTTAACAGCATCAGAAATGCTCATTCTTTCTCTTGGTGAGGTGACTGAGCAATTTACTCCAACTCTATAAACAGAAATCAGACACTTTTCAATTTTTCTATTTCCCATGAAACCATGATCTTCATTCTTCATGGCTTCTTATGCTTTTAATAGTATCCACTTATCTGTTGTGAAAAAGCATGGGATCAGCAATTTCTTCAACAGGAGAATGCCAAAGCTGTACATATCACCATATGTTGACAGTTCATTTCTCATCCCATATTCTGCAATGAACCAGAAGAAAATGTTTCGAACATTTAGATTCCCAACACAAAAATAAATCGATATCCAGAAAATTGAGAAGAATGTAACTCATAAAAAACTCAATGAAATGGGAAGTACCGGGAGCAGTGTATCCAATCGTTCCTCTAACAAGACTAGAGCTTGTTTGATTTATCGAAAAGCTTTGAGCGTCTGCAGAAAGAAACCTTGCCAACCCAAAGTCACCTACATGGGCGACTAATTCATTGTCTAGTAGAACATTGCTTGGCTTTAGGTCACAGTGAATTATTGGAGTTTCACAGTGTAAATGAAGATAAGCAACTGCATAAGCAATGTCAATGGCAGTGTTAAGTCTCTGAAGAAGGTTTAGGCTTTTAATTTCCACAAGAGTAGAATCCTTTGAATGCAACCAGTCCTCGAGATTCCCATTAGCCATGAATTCGTATACCAATGCCTTGAAGTCATTACCTTGAAGATCAACACCCGAGCATGCTGTAAGTACCTTAACAAGATTCCGATGCCTAATATTTCTCAAGGCTTCACATTCAGCTATGAAACTTTTCAAAGCTCCACGAGTAGAGAGATTCAGTACTTTTACAGCGACTGATGTTCCCTTTTGACCAATAGTTCCTTTATATACCGATCCATAACTTCCGGTTCCTAGTAAATTGCCTGCTGAGAATCCATTTGTAGCTTGGAAGAGAGTGTGATAGGATACATTCCACAGCAAATTGTGAGGAGAATCGGAAGAGGGAGGCACTCTTTTAGATCTTCGTAAACAATTCAGGACGAGAAAAAACAAGAATCACACTTATTACACCAAGTAGGACAGCTGCCGTAGAGATTACAATCTTAAACCTGAAACTCAACCTCAACTTCTTAGAATATTCGGCTTTGCATTTGGGAAGTTTAAGGTCAGGTATACCCCCACAAAGTTTCGAGTTTCCAACTACTGAAAATGCAGTTGCATTCTTGAATACGCCTTCTTCTGGTACTGTACCATCAAAGTCATTGAAAGAAAGGTTCAAGGCTCGAAAGTTGAACACTTCGAAATATTTTGGTATTTGGCCATCAAAATTGTTATGCGAAAGATCTAAAATTTGAAGTCCCCTCAGAGAACTGAAAGTCGAAGGAATATTCCCACGAAATGAATTTCCTTTTATAGCTAGGAACTCCAAACTTATGCAGCTACCAAGAGTATTCGGAACTTCACCAAAAAAGTTGTTGCTCGAGACATTAAAATACTCGAGATTTTTAAGGTTTCCAATTTCCGCAGGAAGGGAACCATTCAGTTGGTTTTGAGAAAGATCAAACGTTCTTAAGGAAGAGATGCTGAAAACTTCTCTAGCAATAGGACCAGACAGGTTATTGTAAGAAAGGTTCAGTTCCAATAGGTTTTGGAAGTTTCCCAAAGTTGACGGTATTTCATTGCTAAGATTGTTTTCAGACAGATGAAGATAGACTATAAGACTCAAATTTCCTATAGACTCTGGAATTTTGCTTGAAAAACTGTTCTGGGATAAGTCTAAAAGTTGTAGCTTCTGAAGTTTTCCAATTTCAGAAGGGATAGTACCTATGAATTTGTTGTCATTCACTCGAAAATCTTGCATGTTGATAAAATTTCCTATCTCAGTTGGGATTCTTCCTGTAATCTGATTGCTTGTTAGGTACAACCTAGTAAGCGTATTCGAAAGGTTTTTAAATGATTCAGGCAATTCTCCTCCAAAATTATTATCGTGCAACGCTAAACTTCCTAAATTCGTTGCGTTAATCAAGGTCGAGATGAAAGTTAATTCATTTGATTCTCCTTTTCCAAGAGGATTCCCTGAAAGGACTAAAACACCAAGCTTATTCAACTTTTGGAAACTAGGCACTTTCCCAGACAGATGATTGTAACCTAGATGAAGATATCTAAGGTTCGACGCATTGGACAAAGAAACAGGAATTGATCCAGTGAATTGGTTTACTCCAACACTGAAAAATTCAAGAACGGGAAGAGTGGTAACTAAATCTGAAGGAAGAGTACCTTGAATTTGATTAACAGCCAGGTCAAAAATTGAAATGTAAGAGAGATTGAAGATTGAAGAAGGTATAATACCATTCAACCTGTTTTCACCAAATGCTAGAAGTTCCAACCTTGTCAGTAGGCCTAATGCATCCGGGATTCTCCCCATGAGATTGTTCGAGCCTCCATATAATCGTGTGAGGGATGACAGATTTCCGAAAGTAGCCGGGATTTCACCAGTAATGTTGTTCTTACTAATGGAGAACAATTCCAGTTTTGACAGGGAATCAAAAGAAGAAGGAAGCTTTCCAACAAGTTTGTTATAAGAAACTCAAAGCGAAACAAGATTACTACAATTTGATATAGCAGCAGGAATTTCACTCTCAAGTGAATTATTGCCGACAGAAAAATGTTCAGGTCTATGCAGCCTGCCAATTTCCGAGGGAATTTTCCCGTGAAACTGTTATTATCCAGGTAAAGAAACCTTAAAAAGCTCAAGTTTCCAACATAAGGCGAAACAAAACCTGTCAAATTTTGATTCACAAGGTTAAGTCCAATGACTCTTTGGTGTCGATGGCTGCACGTAATGCCATTCCACGTACAGAAGTGTTTCGATGCATTCCACGAGTTCATATATTGTGAGGGTTCATTAATCGCGCCTTTGAACGCAATCAACGCCTGGTGATCGCTGTAGTTGTTCGGGTGCATTGCACAAAGTGTGCAAGAAAAGCCTGAGGAGAAGACTAGCAGGAAAAAGTTGAACAATGTTGGATTGGCATGTATGCTGAAATGCTTCATTGAATTCTGCTATTCCAGTGTTTTCTTCCCACTATTTTTTGACTCTGGGGCTAATTTGCGATGATCGGTGTTTGGTCTACTGGGGAATGAAATAAAGAATAGATGTGCATTGGTATAAATAAGTTGAGGATAGGGGGATGCTGAAGACCAGTCAAAATAAGCAAGTGATGTCCCTTATCCAATAGCTTACTTTTTAGTTTTTTTTAGGCGTGGTGTTTAATGTAGTGATATGCCGGTACCGATAGAGGAGTTAAATGTTTCATTAGCCACTGAACTTTGAACTATGTCACGGACTGCTCACCGAACTTTCAAACTTGTCCCGTTGGCCAGTGAACTTCACTCCGTCCATCTCAGTCACTCACTGGCTAAAATCCGTAATTTAACGTGCTTAGGTGGAAGACGGGAAACCCAGCTGGCAGTTAAATTCGTCCACCTGCTGAGTGAATTGAATTACACATCATCAGCCTCTCAAACACCCATCCAGCAGGGCACACGACTTCATCTTCACTAGACCCGACTGTGAATAACCTATGTGTCTTCCCCAAATCGCAAATCGCTCAATATATCTTCCCTCCCAACCCAAATAGCAAAGAACCCTATTTCCCCAAATCGCTCAATACCCAATGTCGCGTCAAGAACCCTAACACCCCGAAATCGACGATTGAAGAATGATGTGAAAAAGCATTCGGCCATTGTTGTTAGTTGCGATGCCCACTTCATCAGACCAAACTGCTGTGGAAGATGAAGCTTTCCAATTCATGTCGACACCCATGGACCAGCAGCAACTGTAATTGATGAAACGGGTGACCATGGAGTTCCAATGATAAATGTGAACTTCGATGACACCATTGACGATTGGCATGACCCGGCAGATCTGGAATCAGGGAAATTGGGGTCGGCCAGGACACGAGCACGTCGTAGGGTGAAACTTGCGAAATTGAAAGAGGCCTAGCGACGAAATTTGATTCCAGCAGTTTCGTCTTTTTAGTTTTTTGGTGCATGTGGCTGGATATTATAGTTTTGTTTTTGATTTTCATGTTTTGTTGGGTATTTGAGATGCAAATAACCTTGTACACATGATGAAATTGGATGCAGCAGTTTGATTTACTGGTTTTTGGGTACTTGGTAGTGCAGAGCAGTTTGGGTACTTTTGTTGGAACTTATGTAAACCCACGTTCTACTGGAAATTATGTAAAGCCATTTGTGAAATATGCAACGCAGTTTGGTTTTTGGGTACTTCTACTGGAAATTATCTTACACACATATTGTACACAACTTCAAATTAATGGAAACCCACATTCATGTCAAACAACATGGACCTGCTAACATTCATTCCATATGAAATTAACCAAATTACATAGAAATTATCTTATAAACATGTTGTACACTAAAAACTTCAAATTACATACACAACATTGAAGTTACAGGGAGCCAAAATAACAGTAATTACTGTTTTCTTTCCATATCAAAATAACAACAATTACAACAGCATTGTGTGCTAACATTCATCATAGAATTCCATACAAAATATATACCAAAGCTATCATTTGGAACAATATGTTTACAATGTACATGCTTAATTTATTTACACTGGACAAAAGAAGATTTCAAAAGCAAAAAAATCAGTGTTTTGTCAACAGCTAGTTGGTTGCAACTAAAACCATCAACTAGCTTTGGCCAAAAAACAACTTCTGTCAAAAAAGATGCGGCAACAGCTTTGGTCAAAAAACACAGAAACTTTATCAAGCATTTGGTCCTGTCGATGTACTTTGCTTCATGCATTGTCGTTTTTGTGCCCTCAACACTCTCATACTGGCAGATTCCACATTCTCAATGTCAACCAAGTCATCAACGACATTGTCAAACTTTACATAATCAGTTGGAACATCAACAGGAACCGATGGAGTGCAAATTGTTTCTGCTGGACCAGATTTGAGTCCACATGTCCGCGCTTCACGAGACACCATTGGGGTTGGAATGAAATGGAAAGTTTGTTCGCTCCCGGGATTGTGGTCCGTTGATGCTCTCTTTGGAACCATTTTACCCTGCATGTCCAGACATTAACATTATCAGAATGCCATCATTGTCCACTAAGTATTATGACTAACATGTAAAAAATGAAGAAAAGTGTACTAACTCGTGCGTCTACCGCTCTACCGAAATGCATGCGAACTGGTTCTAAATGTCCTTCAAACCAATCCTGTGCATTCGAAACCATAGTTAGAATGCATGAATCGAATTATCACCTAAAAAATTAAGATCATACTCACAGAATCCGGTGCATCCGGCCTAGAGTGGTATCGTTTGTTGTGACCTTGCTGTCTGCATAGTGAACATGTCATCTTCAGCTGCCCCTTTCTCCGAATATAGGTCTTCGCTTGCGAATGCACTATCATATCTTCATCTGTTCCTTTTCTACGATTTATTTGTCTCTTCCCCTTTCGCGGTGTAATCCATGACGGCGGAGTGATATCAACCATGTCCAACTGTGGCCATAAGCGCATACCGTTGATTGGATGCATCACACTACCGTAGCATCTCATATACGACTCAATCGTGTAGCAGGGGTGAACGAAGTCTTCTAGATCATTTCTGCAATCCTGAATTACCGCGACAGCATGCATGCAAGGTATGCTTGTAAGCTCCCATTCTCTACATGCGCAGGTTCTTTCCTGTAGATCGACTACATATGTCCCTGAGTTACATTCAACTTGACATTTCGGACCACCAGAAAAGTGCAATGTGCATTCACGTGAATTTTCGGCAATTTTGTGCTATTTTTTCATGATCTTTGGACATAAACGTCCTGTAAACCGAATCATCCTATCTCGACGTTTTCAAATCCTATTCATGAAGGTTAATTGTAGTGAAGTTAACATCGACAAAATCATCTTTTCTCTATCACCCCGCAAAGTCTTGTTGAACACTTCGCATACATTGTTAAGCAGAATGTCACTCTTCGATTGAACCGAGAAATGTGATCTACTCCATTCTCGTGGATGTCTATCCATAAGCCATTTGTATGCCGCCTCACTAAGTTCACGAATTTGTTGCATCCAATGTTGGTAGTCAGCAAAAGTGGTCGATTTGGCAGCACGCCATAAGTAATTCTTAAGAATTTTACTCTTGAACCCAGCATTAAAGAAGTTCGTGTACATATGTCGTACACAGAACCTGTGCTCGGCCTCGGGGAACAACTCGTCTACCACATTTTGTAGCCCCTTCTGTCTGTCCGTCATAAGCATCCAACCTCTTCCGTCTCCAATACTAATATCCTCTGAAAGATAAGTCAAGAACCATCGCCAAGCTGCGGTATTTTCTTTCTGAACAACTGCATATGCAATGGGATAGATGCAGTCATTAGCGTCAAGACCAACTGCAGTTAACATCAACACCTACTACCTTTCTACAACCATCTCGAAAACCTATCTTACAACAATTGAAGCATATGTAGATTTCCTGAAAAATTTGTTCCTGTAATGTGATAATGATTGTTGAGCCAACATTCGTACGGAGTACCTCTGCTGTATAAGATCGCAACCGCCTAAACTGCTCTTGCAAATTTCCTACTAAAACTTCTTTGGTATATCTTCGCATCTTCCATGCCACATTTCTACTAATATCAGTGCGGAGATCCTTCTTCACTGTTGCCAAAATAAGCTCGGTCTTCCAGCTCGGGACAGCCTTGAATTGCTCAATATATCGACGTGAATCTGTATGGAGATCCTTCTTTACTGTAGCCAATATTAACTCAGTCTACCAGTCCGGATCCGCTTTGATTTGCTCAATATATCGACGTGTCAAGAAAATGTAATTACAATGTCTATTAAATTGATCCCGACTACAGGTATGCTCCGAAGTATAAGATTTTACTTGCAATCTCTCGGATGCATCCATTTTAGAAGCCCATATTCGCCATTTGCAGCCCAGTTTACAAATTCTTTGCGCTCTTCTTTCTTCGTTTGCCTTAAATTTTACGTTGTACCCGTTTAGTGCAGCGTACGTTCGAACAGCCTCTCTAAACTCTGATGGGGAACTAAATATTTGCCCTACCTCAAACTGAGGATTTTTCATGTCCTGATCAAAATTGAATTTGGGAAACTGATAACTGCCGTCCTCATCGGATGAACATTGGGAGAGGAGTTCCTCTGACGAGGGTAGTTCCAATTCATCCAGCTCATTATCGTTGCCCTCTTCTCTTTCTTCCTGAACTTCATTTTGACGACCACCATCCGATCCAATTTCAATCCCGTCAGTTACATTTCTATTATAATCAATGTCGTCTTCTTCAGACCCAAAGTCGTGGTCGGAGTCAATGAAGTCCGGATCTTCCTCACAATCTGTAATATAATCAAACCACATGAACTGTAAGAAATATAACTCTCGAAGAAGTTATCAAGAGGCAACTCATGGCACAAAAAACAAAGAACAATGGCACAAAAAACAAAGAACAGTGAACAAGAATATCAAGAAACAGGAATATGTAAGTAGAGACCGAAAACAGAAAGCCACCACTAATTATGTAAAGTCGGGCTGTAATAGTTTTTCAAGATTAATTTATCCACAAGCTGCCTACACCGACAGAGAGTTAAGCCCAAAGTAGAAGGATTTAGCAATATTACATGGTCATAGTAGTGCTCATGGAGTTTAACTGCCTAAAATAGAAAGAAGAAAATACACTTTTTTGTTAACGTCAATAGCCATCATTTCATATTTTCTCCTTTTGGATCCAACAAGGTTCAGAAAGGTTTATGAAATTTGTACAAAACCAAGGACTTGAAGCTAATGTGCAAAAGATTATTCTGTCAACTGTCTGCCTATGAAAGTCATATTTTTAACCACATCCCAGTTCAAATAGTTAAAATCTTCTCTCAATCTTTAGTGAAAAAGAAGACTCATTAAATTGCTGTAACCCAATAAATAATTGATACAATCTAAATTTTTAAAAACCCACAAGATGTCGAGATTTGCCTTCATGATCTCCGTCCATTGCGCGATTT